GGTAGGCAGAGGTTGCAGTGAGCAGAGATCGCACCACTGCACTCCAGCCTGGGCGACAGAACGAGACTCCGTCTCAAAAAAAAAAAAAAAAAAAAAAAGCCCTCCTTCCCCTCTTTCCATATGCACCACCCCTCCAAGACCCACTCGCGATGCGTCTGCTCCACAATCTTTCTGGGTGACCTCAACCACAGAAGCCGCCCAGCCCGCGGGACTGTGCCACATGTAGGTGCTTGCATTTTTTAAATTTTTGTTGTTGTTGTTGTTGTTATTTTGATTCTTGCATATTTATTCACCTTTGCAAACATCTGTTTTCCCAACTAGGATGTAACCCCTTTTACGGCCACATTGTGAGTTCCTTTTTTTAAATTATTATTATTATTTATTTACTTATTTTTTGAAATAGGGTCTCGCTCTGTCGTCCAGGCTGGAGTGCAGCAGCGTGATCACGGCTCACTGCAGCCTCTACCTCCCGGGCTCAAGCCATCCTCCCGCCTCAGTCATTCAAAATGCCGACATTACAGGCCTTAGCCATCACGCCCCACCAAGATCATGTATTCCTGAGTGCTCCGTGTTTCCCAGTGTCTAGGGCAGTGTGTGGGCTCCAGAGGCCCGCAATCAGTACTTGTTGAAGTAGAAAGTAAAGCCCAGGGAAGCATTTGAGGTCTCTAGTTATCAGCTGCACCAGAAATTGAGGGGAGGAGAGGTGCCTCACACATTTACAGTACCATCATCTGAGAATGTCCTTTAGAGACTCTGCTTGTAGTGACATTGGGTTTGAGGGAGCAGTAGATTGTGACTCAGCATGTCATGAAGGGTCACAAGCCTGAAGCTACAGGATTTGGAAGTTGAGCTGCCCTGAGCCTGCAGCAGCCTGGTCCCTATTCCAATAACTCTCTAGAAAAAAAAAAAAAGGCCGGGCGCGTTGGCTCAAACCTGTAATCCCAGCACTGTGGGAGGCCGAGGCGGGCAGATCATGAGGTCAGGAGATCGATCGAGACCATCTTGGCTAACACTGTGAAACCCCGTCTCTACTAAAAACACAAAAACATTAGCCTCTCTACTAAAAACAAAAAACGTTAGCCGGGTGTGGTGGTGGGCACCTGTAGTCCCAGCTACTGGGGGCTGAGGCAGGAGAATGGTGTGAACCAAGGAGGTGGAGCTTGCAGTGAGCCGAGAT